GGGGGGGGGCGGAGGGTAACACAGCCCATGCTACGACAGCATGGCTAAAAGTATTATTAGGTCACCGCTACACGCATTCGAGGCATAAATAATGTAGCAGTACACAAAAATCACGTATCTTCCATGATAGAACTGAATGGAAATCCAATGCTAATTTTGCTTTTAAAGAAATAACAGACAAATTGAGGAGTTTGCTTTGCGCATGAATTACCAACGTAAACCACATATTTTCTTGAAAGCTAATCCAGAGGTTTCTGCTGTACAGTGTTTTTTTTTCAATGTCGCGGAATACCTTTAATTTGTGTTACTGTTTTCCACCTCTCAGTTTGATCAGTCGAATGCTGCAAAAGATACAGCAGTATCAGATGGAATCAATTGTAATAGTGCAAGCATGGACAACACAGTGCTGGTTCCAACAGCATACCCCTCTTCTGATAGAACTGCCAATCTATCTTTTGTCAAAAGGAAAACAACACTGTCACGCCTTCCGGGGTACAAGGTGACAGAGACTCACGAGAAAGAAAAAAATGAATCTCGATAACTTCCGTTTGTCCGGGAAACGCTGTAAAGTAAAGGCATTTCAACAGAGCCAGTAAATAGCATCATGGACTCGTGGCGACCAACTACAAGGACGAAGTGTAAATAATACAACAGTAAGTGGGTGCAAGTTGTGTCACACAGGGCTTGGATATAAGGTATAAGTCGATTCATCTATTGAACCTGGACAACGTGTGTGGGGGAAAAAACGGACACAGGCAAGTGTATCATTATAGCCATGATCAAATAATAAGCGCCCTTGCGCAAAACTCCTACCCTTTCATTGCCAATGTTCAAAGGTTACAACAATTGTGTGTGGTATGAACTCTGCATCAATACATTGAACAAACAGCTGCCATTAGGAAAAACGACTCATAGTTTGTTTATATTATACTGCAAGCCACACAAACCTATGTCGAAGAAACGCTATTGGATTTTTTCTTTTCAGACCATTTGCTTTGATTAGTAATTGAGCTACCTGGTCGCCGACGATCGAACCAGTTCAGTTTCACTACATTCCTCCCTCCTTTTCCCTCTGAAGATTCACCTACATGTATTTACAACCTAAGTTCGGATATATTTTCCCCTTGCTAAGCATTTACCCAGTGCTTGGCAAGCTCATCAATTTTGTAACAGGAGAAAGAGAATGCAATGGCCAAACTAGGGTTTCAGAATAATATCTCAATATGTTGCTCCACATCTGGTTCAGCTTTGAGCAATAATGACACAATTGTCTCTTTTGCAAATGATTTGTTAGCATTTAATTCTCATATCTGAACGACTGTCTGTACATGCATCTATTTGTTAATCCTAATGCTTACATTGAGGGGACATGAGTATTCGAGAATATAAAACGGAGAACTTTAGCTCCCAAATTTATATTTTAGTTTAAATACATTGCTTTAGCGACTCATCCTAAAGCAATGTTCTGATTGGATTGATTCTCACTTATTGAACAGAACCCTCGCAACAAAATATAACAATTGTTCAAAGTAAACCTCCCCTAATTTTGAGTTTAGCCTTTTTGTTTCAAATTGTTCTTAAAATATTCTCACAGTTCGTGGAGCAAGCTTCTACCTTGGCAACAGTTTTGGAAACTGTTGAGATCCCCAATAACCATGAAGAGACAGTCCTGATGCATGAGGACTAAGTGTTTGAATCAAACCATGGAACGGTTGAAATCTCAACCATTTCACCATATCTATGCCCATTTGGCATTAAAGGACGAATATACTCATGCTTGTATGTATGCCTGCTATATATTGCTGGTAACTTAGGATTCCGTCTCTTGGTCATAACATATGCATGGAAATGGTAGACACTGCCAACCATATATGCAATTGCTGGTCATGAGGATTGGGAAACACTTAGGCTACAACAAGTACTTTCAGGGTTCAGCCCCGCCCCTTAGGCCTTGGGCCAAGTTAAAAAATTGCAATTCATATATTTGAGATTCCAACCATACATTACAACCAAACATTTGCTTGCTTGGCATGAAAAAACACACACACTATCAAATATGTACCATTGGACACAGTCTTATAATTAGATATGCTTTTGCCTAGAATGACATTTAATGAAAACATTCTAAGTCCCATTACTCTCGAAAAAAATTACAAATACCACTCAATATATAAGGCCACACACCGAAATAGGTAAACATCTGAACACAATACGCAAGAAATTGTGCAGGGCGTCATATAATCGCAAATGTTGGAGTTCAAAGTCCCATAACTCTTTTAAATATTAACGGATTTCACTGGTTAATGGTTTTTGTGAAGAAGCCCTAGAAAGCAGAAAGGCCTAGCAGACGATCTGAAAGATTTATGTTTTTATTCTATATTTTCCTTCCCAAGGACTTATTTATTTATTATCTACTATATTTATATGTATATAGGTGTCATAAGTAATAACGACAGTATAATCCAATAATGGCACTGTATCCGAACAAACAAATATATCGGCAAAGAAGTAATATACTTATATATCTATAATAAAAAAGGATTAAATATATTCATATATATATATTAATCGTCTAATGAATCTGTGCAGATTTTTGTAGAGATTACATTAGAATATTCAACTGCGTAACAAGCAGGAAACAGTACACGCAGTATTTATTGTGTTGTAGTGATTTTGTTCTTTTTCCTATATTCTATAGACTGGTATTTTAAAGAACGGGGAAATCATGTCATCCTATTTATACATGAGCTTCAAGATGAGGTTCTCAGCTTTCTATTAGTATACGATATGTGCATCTTCGGTACCGATATAGTTTTTTACAATGGTTTAAAGTTGAACACAAATGGCTCCTCAGAACAAACAGTTTCTAGATCGTCTCAGATCGGCCCAAATCGGCCCTGTGGCAGTCTAAGGTTTAATAGAACTTCATACTGCTGTGAATAAAAGACAGCATTTAAAGCTAATTTGTCGTTTCACATATTTACTAGTTCAGTATTGTGAAAGATATCCATCCAGTACTTTCTGAGAAATAGCGATAGCAAACATTCACCGTCAAATCAAAGATGGCCGCCTGTAGACAATTTTTTATTTGATCGGTCTCAAAAGTAGAAATGTATTACAACGGACCAAGGGAGAAGCTACATATACAATTTAATAAAGATATCTCCAACACTTTCTGAAAAATAACGATAACAAAACTTGTTAAATACAGACGAGGGACGACAGACGGACCACGGACGAAAGTCGATTTGCATTCCTTACCACCAGTTGATGATTCAACATCCGCAACAAGAGTTCACTAAAAGAGTTATCGCTGCGTTATTGATGCAAGTGTAATTCGTATAGCAATCAATTCTTTCTAAACTAATATATTGATTATACCAATTTTAACAAAGAAAATAACGGAAAAGGAAAGTTAAAAGCAACAAAATCGTATGTAACTAGGAAACGACGAAAATATTTATATTTACTTGATTAATGATATCTTGTCCTTAACCCCTGGAATGCCACAGAGTCTATTTATAGGCTCTATGCTACCATCGTTGAGTGCCAGATAGCCTATTCGTAGGCTCTCTAAAATCTGACAGTTCAACAATAGCAATGACGTCATCAACAATTTAAAATAACGTCATAGACGGCGTTTCCGTGATCTGGCAGATCAGCCATTCGGCACACCTCGGCAGATCTACATCTAACTTCGGCTGTATTACGAATTCCGCCATTGGAACTACTTTCAAGTTCCCGGATCGATACAGTATGGCGGCGCCCATGAAGCAGACGACTCATGTGAAGAGTGTTTTATCCGAGGAAACGGTATATTGTTTTTTTATGTACTTCCGATAGCAAACGCCTATATTGCTTGACTAAATTTAAAGCTCGGAAGGAAAAGTATGTTGATACCATTAAACAGTTTACAGGAGTTAAACTCCAGACTGAATTTCTTGCGAGTATGCATGTCTGTATGAATAAGATCATAGCCGCTGTCAGTTTAAAGGAAACATGTATCAATAACATTGATGAGTTTATTAGCATACATAAGCGACAGAAGCGAATGTCAACAACTCCTCCATCGTCCCTTAAGATGTCAGTCGCCAATCAGATTCAGCGTTCAGTGGAAAAGTTGAAATGTTTGAGTTTAAATGTCATGCATCTTCCACATCTATGCCCACACCTGCAGCAACTCCGTGTCCAGCTTCTAGCTCTTTGCCAGACCACGGCTATACTAAGTCATACAGTATACAAAGTGAACATGATACCCCGACCGAAACATCTGCCGATGATTTTATGAAGCAGCTAGTTTGTGATACATTACCTGTTATTGACAAGTCTGTGCAAACTGTTACAAAACTTGGAAAAAGTATATTATTTGTGAAAGATCCAAATGAACTGTGCAAGAGAGACTGGTCCAGGGATGTTACTAGGTAAATGTATGAGAAATGTCCTGAGTTCTTCAGGGTTTTATTTTCTGCTATTGGTGAGTATTTTGTTCTTTTTTACAGTAGCTATAAATTTACAGTATCAATATTATAAATGACAAACAAGAAATTCTCTTCACATATGGGTCACTAAGGCCTGGATGCAACGGCAAAAGTATCTATAGACAAGCCTAATTTTTATACTTTCTTTATTTTGTTCTGCAATCCTAAATTGAATGCTTAATTAGTCTACCTGATACTATAAACAATAACATATTTTTGTAGGTGACAAAATTTCACCAGAGTCCAAGTTGTCAACAAT